ACACAACTGCCAAGAGATTAAAGCAACCAATAGTTCTATACAGCTGTAACAACTATAAACCACAACAGGCTTGTAATAAAAACCAGGTTAACAATAAACAATTCCCAAAACTGTAATAGTACCAATTATAGCCTGGGGGTAACCAACTGCCACCTAATTGGGCTTTGGGGACACTCAATAGGAGGGAATTCATGCCTGTACTGTAAACTTAGCCAACATGGAATTTAGAAGATAATCTACTACCGGCATTTTCTTCAAACAGGACAATATCTAACTACATACTGAATACGTATTCTTTTATCCACAGACTGTCCTTCATCGAAGAAGCTTCTGTATCCACCACTGGTCAAAATACACAGGAAACCCGTCCATAGGACATTCAGCTCCAGTGAATACACTTACAACACAAGCTGCACACTTAAGGCTTATGGAACATTGTAGCAGCAGGGGTGGGGAGACTGTAAGAGCTGGAGAGAGAGAGAGAGAGTGAGAGAGAGACACTCCAAGACCTCCCTCCAAAGTAATATTTTTGCAAAACATACAGGAATCCCTGTACCATATCCAACATAAGAAAAACTTCGAGCAATCTGGAACTCTTGGGTGGCAGGTGGAACTAAAAGCCTGGTATCATTACTGCGATCACAATTTCTTTTTCTTCCCAAGTTGCAGGATGTAAAATTAGTAAATCAGGAACATAGGCCCAATAGGCCTCACTCTGGTATCTCTGGATGGTCATCAGCAACATCAGAATCAGCATCTCTCTGCTCCATGCACTGCACCAATCATTCAGGTAACCAACGAGCTTCATTTTCTTCCTGTGAAAAAACATAAATGCGCCCTCATCCCCATATTAAACAGGGTCAAGGCCCTTCCATAAATCAGTACAAGGATCTTTCCATTTAACTTGAGCAAATTTAGTGGTGGTGCCTTCATTCCAAAATCGATGAGCTGCAGATTTTCCAGCAGCATCCACATTTTAAAAAATTTAAAACTAATAAGGCATGATTTAAAGCATTATGTGGCGACTGGGAGTATAACTCCCCCTTCTTTTTTATTTTTTGAAGTTGCATTTTGAGTGCCATAGGCTCGCTCAACAATACCTTTTTTATGATCAACTTGCCATTGAGAGCAAGATTGATAAAAAGCTTTACTAACATATCCAGTTCTGTTATAAGTTTTAATAACTTTTGGTATCCCCATGTAGGAGAAACATTTCAGGCAATGAGCAATTACATGCTTGGCAGCTTCACCAGTTTGAGCAGTAGCCATTGAAAATCCTAAATAAGTATCAATGGTCACATGCACAATTACTGTAATATGAGTGACATCCATTTGCCATAAATGATTAGGAAGAAGACCTTAAGGATGTACTCCAAAGTGAGGTACAGGTAAATATTATGGACACATGATGTATATTTTAATAATTTGATGAGCAGTTTCTCTTGTTGAACCAAATTGTTGTCTTAAGCTTTTACTATTTTGATGAGGCAAAGCATGTGATCGCTGAGCAAGCTCAGCTTGTGATAAAGTGATCAACTGAGTAAATTTATCAACTAAAGCATTACCTTCAGCCAATGGACCAAAAAGATTTGAATGTGCTCTAATATGTCCCATAAAATATGGCAATTTACTTAAATGAATGGCATCTTGAATTTGTTGGAATAACATTCTTATTTGCTCATTAGTAGTTTTAATATAAGAAACAGTTTCTATAACTTGATGAGCTCTATAAATATATTGACTGTGTATAAATTAATTATCTTTCATAACTTGAAAGACCAAGAGCTCAACTCAACAACTTGAGCTGAATCAGGAGTTGTCTGAACTACACATCCTTTGCCATACTCACATAAGCTGCTTTCCCATAAGATGAACCACCAGTACAAACCAAAGCAGCATCTTTCACTGGCATATGCATTACTACTTTAGAAAAATAAAAGAAGGCATCTGAACAAACTGTAATAATTGATCAGCATGATAATAATTATCAATTTGAACCCAAAACTGAGCAAAAGCAATTACCCAAGAATCATTATTTTGAAATAGCCAATCAATTTGTTGTTTAGTAAATGGTACATTTATTACATTTGGTTCCTTTCCAAAATTCCTTCTAGAATCAAACCTATTCTATTTTCCTGTGGCTGGTGCTTCTTATGGCTATCACCTGGAAAAACTATTAAGGTCTATCATTGAAATGTAACCCTCAGCTGTTTCCCATGATCCCTTCATGTCCTCAAATCCATTATCATCTGGAAGATTCTTAAATTACAAAGTTTACCTGTCAAAGAAAGGTGCATTCTTATGTATAAAAGCATTGAAGTGCAGCTTTAATATTTTATTAAATAAACATTGTTTTTAAATCCTATCTTATATAAACCTTATTTTTATAACATGAATTATCATATAGAAATTTATCCCAATCCAAAATATTTGAGGCTTGTTGCCTCCTTAGTCTAAAAGGAGATACAGTGAACAGAGAGCTCATTAAGGACAAGGGAGATATTCTTTAACCTCAGTCAAAGATTGTTGCCAACCTTGTGGCTGCACATTTCATGATGAGGTCACCAGCCAAGATCTCCATGTGGTTGCTGCTTAAAATTAAACATAGTTACCTGCACACATACACACAGTTGGACCCAACTATTATTCATACCCATACAGAGTTGAAGAGTTAAATCTAAGTCACATGAGTGTTCACATACATACACATGTATATATTTCCATTTTTAATGTAAATATTTTGCAATGAAGAATCATCAGGTATTTTTAAAATGAAGAAAGCCAGAATTAACATAATATAGTTAAATCCCAAATATATATTACACTCCCTTCAAATTCAGCATAGTTCACATCCCCTCTGGCCCTCTACAACTTCTACAACTTCAGGTCCTTCCTATGTTTGCTCTTCTGGTTCAGCCTGACATAGACAAATTCCTTTTTTCCCTTTCCTATCATTATTGCAGTTTGTCACCTTCTCTTGCTTTTTAGACAACATGCAAATTTCCATCAAAGTCCTTTTTCTTGTGGTTTCTTCCCAGCAGTTTAAAACATTGCATAGGTATAACATTTCAAATAGGAATAGAAACATATAGATATATATGCATCTAGCATAACAAAAATCTTATTTTATTTTTGAATTAATATATAAAAACCTGTATCATTGTAAAACATTTGAGGTTAGCAGAAGTTTTTTTATCTTAAGATAATCTTTGACTATCTTAATCAATAATAATTTGTAATCAATTCTCTTAAATGATGACAAGTATTTGTAACCCATTGAACTCAAATGACTAAAATCTGTGTAATTTTTCTTTTCCTGTGGAGGCAAAAGCATAATTTTTTCCCAAACATAATGGTTTTTTTTCCTTTTATTCTAAAGTCAAAGCTTTTCAAAGTACGTAGGCTGGTAATTCAACATTTTTTTCTCAAACAGTATCATGACACAGAAGGGTTAAAGAAGGATGCTATTGACCAGCAGAAGAGACCTTGAAGTTATCACAGTGAAGAATTTGGCTTAGGAAGGAAGGGAGCGGGACAGTGGACGCAGAGTGTGTCCTTGGCTGCCAGTGTTCTGATAAAAAGAATTGTCAACTTCTCTGACTATAAAAATTAACAATTAGCCGGGCAGTGGTAGCACACGCCTGTAATCCCAGCACTCCGGAGGCCCAGCCAGGCGGATCTCTGTGAGTTTGAGGCCAGCCTGGTCTACAGAGTGGGTTCTAGGAAAGGCGCAAAACTACACAGAGAAACCCTGTCTCAAAAAACCAAAAAAAAAAAAAAAATTAACAATTAACCCTGGATTCTCTTTTCCGCATTTGTTCAACTTGTCAATTGTAGGAATAAACTCCCTGATGCTTCGTCTGCAGCTTCCATCTCTGCCCTTCCTGCTCCGAGAGGGCATACCCTCACCCTCTGAGAACTGCTGGCTGGCTGCAGGCTTCTCCTGCTGGCCAAGACTAGCTCCACCCATGCTGTGGGCCTGATAGCAAGAGAGCTATGGAGGGGGGTGGCCCTTGCCATGCCTCTCTCTCCTTCTCTTCCAGGAAAATCAGGGGGATTAATAGACAGAAACAAGTAACACTTTAACAGACAACAAAATAACAGAACTTCAGCACTGAGATGATGGCCTCACTCAGTGACTCCTGTCTAACAGATGGCTTCTCTTGCAATACACAAGCCACACCTGGCAGGAGCTACCGGCTTATCTCAGTTCAGTCAGGGGGACCCAGTCCCCTCAAACACATGGAATAGAACAGTAACATAGTAACATTCAGAGCACAGACCAAGACAAAGAGCGCTCACATTTACATTTACCAGCCATAGTGAACAGATCTGAAAGTGAGACATTGGGATAATGGTTTGCGGTCACAACTCACTTAATCTCTCCAGAGGGACCATTCACAGTCAGGAATGGAGGTGGGGGAGAATCTTGAGGTATGAGAGAATCTTCATTATAATACTTAGCAGCCTTTTCTTCTAATTCTGCCTCATTGCCAGAATCTAACTGGTCATTATCATCAAATATCTTTGTAAAAGCATCCGCATAAAGAGATCTTTCTGGCAGAGCAGAATGTTTAGTTTCAGTTTTACTTTGTTCAGGAAACACTTTATGCATTTCAGGACAGAGGTCTAAGCTGTCCTTGAATAAGTGTCCAGAGACTGAAAATACCTGATGAAAGTTTTTCTGGACCATGCTTATCATAATACTGCTGTATCTTAACTCCAAAAGGTTTACAAATTCTAAAAATTTACACAATTGCTTACGTCCTACTTTAGTACCTCTAGCCTTTAAGACATCTTTAAATAAATGTATAAACAGCTGTTTTCTATTTTCTTGGCCCATACTTACTTTTACACTTGTTCACGAATTTTTTTACTGCGCATCTGCTTTTTTATTTACACTTATCACTTTTACTCTCAAGCTGTACTCACCACAGCTTACACTTTTTTGGAGTGCACTCCTTTTTCTTCTGTGGTGTCTGTCACAGGCTCCTCCATGCCCCGCCCCCTCACTGGGCGCCACTTGTTGGAGCCTGCCGACAGTCAGCTGGGTAGCTGGGTAGAGGTGTGAGGATTGTAGAGACAATGAAGAAAACAGAAAAGAGTTGAGAAGTCTGCTGGTCAATGCCAGACACCCCCAGGTTTCTTTCACAGCCAGCTTATACACAGTTTTGACCCCGAGTTTCTTTCACAGCCAGCTTATACACAGTTTTGAGGGACAGAGGTAGAACAATGCACAGCACAGGCATTCAACCACTATCTATCCTGCCTTGCGTCAAGGGGCAGGCAGTTTCATTTTCTATCTCGATGTACCTCTAGCTGGCATCAGCAGCCTGTGTCTAGCTAGATAGTGTGTTCCTTCACGTGGGCTAATCAGGACTTTCTCACAGCCCTTCAAGAAGACTCTGTGGGCTCATCAGGACTTTCTTACAGCCCTGGAGCAAGCAAGCTTGAACTCTATTGACTCAGAATAGACTTCAGATTCAAACTGGGAAACTCAGTCAGTTGTGGGCTCTCACAGGTGGATCTGGATCTTGGAGGAGTTTGGGATAAGTATGATCAAAATACTTTTATAGTAAGGTTTTCAAAAAATTAATAAAATACTATTTTTAAAACTGTATAAGATATTTAATATTGAGTCCCAAATAATGGAATGTCTGATACATCTGTGAAAACTCAAATCCAGAGGAATTGTTCAAGAAACTGCATCAATTTCTTACCTCAGAGCTTTTAACATTTTTTTAACACTCAGGTCTTATTTATTTATTTGTATTTGGTTTTTTTTTTTTTTTTTTTTTTTTTTTTTGTGTGTGTGTGTGTGTGTGTGTGTGCATGCACACACAAGTACTCCACAGCATATGTGTAGAAATCAGAGACCCACTTTAGGGAGTTAGTTCTCATTCTACAAAGTGGGCTCCAGGAATGGAACTTAGGTTGTTAGATTGGTGGCAAGTGTCCTTACCATTGAACTGTCTCACTATTCCTCTAGTGTTTTTGAGAGGTTCACATTCTCTTTCTCAATGTTGAGGACAGACAGCCAAATCTAATACACTTTAAGCAAATCTATCCAAATTCTTCTCAGTTTACTTCTTTCTCTGGGATGAGAAGCACTTAGGCTGTCTGTCTTCAGTGCCTCATTGCCTCTGTCCTCTTTATATCAGAGTTAAGCTTCTCTGGGGGACTACTGAAAGACAGAGTACTTTTCCTCTGTTCATCATCTTGTTTAAATGAAACAAGTAAACATTCAGTGACAAAGTCAACTGCAGTTATTAAACACAGGGTGCAAGGCCCACTAGATGAAATTGGGGCTGCAGAACTTAGGAGGCCATATCTGAAATACAGACTAGTCCACAAATGTCTCCTTGCTTCCCTCCAGCTACTTTTCATCTCTGTAGAAAAGCAGGAGGGTAGGTTCTTAGGAATTTAAATAAGTTGTGAATTTTCCTGGAGGTTCCAAAGACCACAGTGCATTCTCCACACTAGCATGACTCCCCTATAACACCTCTCAACACTTTTTTCTACTTATTCTACCCCTGAAGGAAGGAAGAGCAATCTTCCCCTTATCAGTTGTGCCTTCCTTTCCAAGAGCATCAATCTGAAGAGAAGGATAACTGTGGTAATGCCTTCATACTAAAGATAGAGCAGCCATCTTCCTACATTCCCTCAATAGATAATATTCAGGTTTCCAGTCAAAGAACATGATTTTATATACCACTTTCCCTCAATAATTTTCACTTTCTACAAATTATTTGGATTTCATTTACAGAAAGGCAAGAATATAAATATATTTCATTAGTAGTCTAAACATGTCAGTTTAAATGGGCCTTAGAGAACCAGGGACTTTATTACAGGTTCCGGGGAGGAACAATGATGCTGGTAGGATTTCAGGAGCTCACAGGAAGTAGGCTTCTTCAGACTTGAACATGTACACTGAGCACTATGAGTAAATGATAGCAAAATACACTTGAATGGTAGCATAATAGTCTTCATTACATGCACCAGAAGGAAAGCATACCAAACATAATCTGTAGATGGAGCTTTGACTCATAAAACATAGGAGATGACAATAAGCTGATGGTTCAAACTACAGACTTAGAAATAAATAATGGAACACATCGGAAAGGTTCACACTACTTCTAATCTAAAATGTTTTTCCCATGATCGGCTGTATCTGTTACATCATCCTTCTCTTAGGTGTGAAGCACCATGTTTTCTATGATTCCTTTGTCAAAACTGCTATCATGGATATTGGGGCCCAGTGTTGGGGTCCAGCCCTAACCTATCGAAGGTCCCTTGAAGGGAGAAGAGAGGAATTGAGAAATGCTAGATAGGAAATATAAAAGTAGACAAAGGAAAAAGAGACACAAGATAGCTTTTGGGAAAACCCTGGATCAAGAGCCAGCAACCCCAAGTTTATTCATGGTGGACTTTTTATACATCAGCCAGGAGAGGGGCAAAAGACTTCCCTCCCCCTCTCAAGGTCAAGGTATAAAGTACCAACAAGTCTAGACCCTTCAAAACACCTGGTAACCAGGCCTATTATGCAATCTTGCTGGGTAAAGCAAATTCAGACTTTCTGACCTTGAGTAAGGCCTTACTAGGGAGCCTCTGTGGGCCCCCACACATGGACTATTTCCAGAGATTATTAGAATATCTGAGATGAACATGAATCCAAAGTTCATAACAATTACTTTAAAAACTAATAAGGAGAAGAGTTCAGTGGCAATTTCTGCAGAAAATGAAATCTTTGGAAATTTGAAAAAATTTTCTTGGCTCAATCAAAAAGACTTTAGATATTTATGGGTTATCTACATACTGGAAATTATTACTATAGTTTGTCTTTCCTGTATGTTTGTGAGTTTCCCATTGCAAAGCATTGCTTTGCTATCTTCCTGTATGTTTAGATTGTTTGCTCCTTGTTGATTAAATAAGGGCTATGCCATATGAGTAGGCCCATTTGAGTCTGTTTATCTAATTAGTGATAGGAACTAATGTACTTTTATCAGTGTTGGGTGCTGGAGATCATATTTGTTTATCTACTTTGTTCAATGTGCACACAGCATATAGTAGCAACATTATGAAGTTTTTCTGTTTTCTAATTGCATATCTTGAATGAAGTAAGGCTCAGAAGGCATTCTTCATAGAGATCTCAGAACTGCTGCCCTTATACCAATTGCTTCTTTTCTTTTACATGTAGACTCACAGCTGGGTCTCCTTGGGAAAAGAGAGCACATAATAATTGCACTAAATATGCACTAAATTACTTTGCAAAGTGATAGTGGCATCTATTATGAATCCTGTGTTTGAGGAGTTTAATCAGCTATTTAAATTTTCATCAGGATGCAAGTCAACATGTGAGTTCTCAACCAGAGGCATTCTATTTACCACACAAATATTTGTTGATTAAAGAAAGCACAGGCCCCCACTCTTTCCTTGGGTTTCAGAAGTACACACAAATATTTCAGGAGCAATAAACAAAAACATTATATTAAAAATATATACAAATGGAATTTTGATACATTGTTTAGTTGGCAACTACATTACTTATGAATAGTATGCTACTTCATGGTGATTTAATATTAATATTCCTCAGAGAATCAAATTTAAGCAAGTGGAATTAGAGAATCCAAAAATGCTAATAAATTGTATTATATAAAAGCAAAGTTAATAAATGCAAAGAAAATGACTTGCTGATTGATTCTCAAGGTTCTATTTTAGTTTCTTCTGCACTAAATCTTCTGTTCACCAGATCACTTAAATCAAAATGAAGCTAAATGGATTACCTGAGGTTACTATCTTTTATTTATGTATCTTTAATACATACTGAGTCTGAGTTACATACAAGTATAGATCTATATCGACTAGCTTTATGGAATATTTGGTGTATTTTAAATCTGCTGGACTCCAGTGGAGGTACTGAGGGGAGTGTGACTTCTAGTCTCTGTCACAGCAGGTGCTCTACTTGTAGAGTCCAGGGATCACAGCAAGTGCCCACAGGAAAAGTAGGAGGGAGAGAAGGAGGCAGCCAGACCACTTCAGCCTCTGCTGGGGCTGATTGGTTTTTTTAGATAAGTGGATGGATGTTCTAAAACCTTTCCCTGGATAACTTGTCACTCTAAGGTGAAGTGCAGGAATGGTCAACTAGAGACCTGTGAAACAATGAACGAGTCTGCCCAGAGAAGGGAGGGAGAAAACTTTTTTGGACAGTGCAGCTTTTCTCTTTGAAAGGGAGTCTGTAACACAGAGAATGTTAGATTTTTTTCATTCATTTTTATACTTCTAACACCCAGCAATTACTCCAACAGATATGAACTTATAAAAATAAAAAAAAGGAATTTAGTTAAGCATGACATTCTTTTTGTGAGAGAACTTAAACCACAAATGTGTATTCTCTGGAAGGCGTGTTCTATGTGGTTCTCTGTGTTTCACCCGAAAAGGACTTCTAAGTTCTTTATGTCACTGAACCTGCCCTTATATATAGAATGGCATACACAGTAGATGGGAATTGTACATAGCCATTTACTACATAACATAGTAGATGGGCACCGAGTATTCATTGCTGAGAGGCTGAAGGAATGAAGTCACAGAGGGTGTGAGAGCAGATGCATGAGTGGGTAAAGGAATAAAGACTCAACTGGCAGAGCTTTTGCTCAGTATGTGCAAGGTCCTGGGTTCTATGCCCAGTATTGGGGGAAAAAAAAAGCTTAGTTTCAACATTTGAAGTATTGTTGTTCCACCATTGCTATCCAAGCATAAGTCCCCAAGCAAGTAGCTTTACCTCATTTGGTTGCCACTACCCCTTTTAAATATAACTTGGCTGTTTAGGGGAAGCACAAGGATGTTTTCCCGCATGCTGATGTAAAGACCTGTGGCCTAAGACCTATGTTACTGCCTAGAGGGTCTTGAATAACACACCAAGGAGTTTTAGATGTGTGTCTTCTATTTTTTTGCTTTTTTGTTGCCACCCTTCAGATGATGGAGTAAGCTACTATCACAGGTCCCTGCTCCTCCCCTCCGAAAAGTGGGAGAGGAAGTTGGGTAGAGCATTCTCACCA